GTTGCGTTGCTTGCCTGGCTTGCCCGGCTGGCCTGTTGTCTGTTGGCATACGTTGTCGACTGAGGACACGCAGAAGAATTCCGCTCCCAGAGGGCATCGCCGTTTCAGAGGCAGTGGACAGACTACGCCTCTTGGCAAACGGTTTTAATCCAGCCCTTGCTTCTACCTACTCAGTCCAATTAGTCTAGTCAGTCTAGTCTCTGGTTTCCCAGCTGGAGGCCCATTGGACATTTAGGGAGTACAATGAGCTGCCCCACGAGTTCAATGCACCGGGCTCAGTGCTCAATGCCTGACAGTTGTCCTTGCATCCCTGCCCAGGCAAGAATGTGTGCCGCCCAAGCCGCTGCTGAGGACACGGAAGCAAGGTAGGCAATTTGAGTAAGTGGCCTGTGCGAACTTTCGTCGAGGCGTATGTCCATTGCACTACGCCTTCCTCACCTGTTCTCAAGTCTGTGCAGCGTTGTGTCAAGTTCATTGCAGGCAGGCTTGTCGTGCAGCTGTCTGATGACATGTCTGCGTGTCATTTCATGTCTTGCGCTCTCGCACCGTGCACGGAGTGGAATGTTGGTGTCGCGGCGAATCCAGAGCCATGTCATGATGCAGAGCATTCTGAGCTGCATGCTGCACTACGTATCTCGAGAGAAGTCTTCGCGATCCTTCAGGGTCTTCAGTTCAGCCCGTAGGCACCAACCTCGCCGCGCTTGCTTGTGCGGTTTTGCCATCGACCAAAACCTCTTCAGAGAATCCAAGGAATGTAGTCGCTTCAACACTAGCTCTGTAGGGAGAAAGCATTGGCACATCGGTTACATGCACGCATGACAATGAAACAAATTCAATGAACCACCGCGCCTTTGATTCAGTTTTTTTCAGCAGTGTGATCTCAGTTTGCTGCGAAGCCGGTGGATGAGTTTGGCATGTGGTTGCTTGTGCCTTGTGGCTGTAGGGCAGGCTGATCACCCGATGGTCGATTTGCTTTCAATTGTGTCAAAGAGAACTGCTGAAGGGTGGGCATGGGCCACGGGATGAGCTACTGCGAAATGCAACCCATCGAGAACCCTTATAGGGCTGGGGTCGCTTGTAAAAAAAACGCTAAAGGATGGAATCGTAAGTCACTTATAAGTGACTTATATGCACTTGTAAGTGCAGGGACATAACTGATGTAAGTCACTTACAGGACTTACCGTAAGTGACTTAATAAGTCACCACGAACCATTACTAAGTGTACTTATGTAACCGACTTACCGGTACTTACATAGCCTTCGTAACTGCTTATGTATAAGTGCACTAAACAACTATTTCCTAAGTCTCCTATATATTTATAAGCCACCCCGACGATCCAAGTAATTGTTAACCGAAGCCCGAAGGGCAATGCAGTGCCACAGCCAGCATAATGAGATCCGGGGTTGCTCACACAGGTTCTCAATGAACACGCAAAGTTTGGAAATGCGACTTGTGTGGGTCTGCTTGGAGATGGTCTTCGCGATGTTGCCATCACTCAAGGCACCTTGAGCTCGAGCTCTCGGCGGTGCCACCAGCTGACTCTAAACACAAGCGTGCTGCCCGCAATGACAACAGTCATCCCCTGGGACCGAACCGTACTGCAGAGGGAGTTGTAGCCAGGTGCTTGCCATGTGATGATCATAAACACAGTGCTCGTCGACATTAACTGTTACAGAGACAGGACATCATGGAGAACATGTGCAGCGTTCCTCATGTGTAGTAGACAAGATTGACCTGGCAGGTTCGGTGTTGGCAGCCTTGCTGCTTGTGGCTCTGTGGGATGCTCCTTGCTCAGTTTCTGGACCGTTTGTAAGACAAGGTACCACCTCAGCTATGACGAAGCCAAATGGGATGCTTTGATTCAAGGGTTTCGGTCATGAGTCAGACTTGGGCGGTTGCATGTATTCACAGGACAGCCCGTTGCTGTTCGTGAAGGTCCAGGCCGGGCACAACTTCTTTTGCGTGCCAATGTTTGCCGCATGAGCTCGCTAAACAGCCGCTGCCAAGGACAAGAATCTGCTCTGGTATTTGGCTGTCTTTGGTGACCGGGATGCATATGGGTGCTAGTGTTTGGGCCCATGACAAACAGTTGTCCCGGCTCAGGTTTTGCATTTGCAGTGGCTGATGGTGCCGGTGATGAAGATGCAGGACCTGGATGAAAGTTCTGCTGCGCTCTTTGGGATTTCGGGAGAGTACAGCGGGCGAGTACATGCTGTGTGCAAAGGCTCGGGAGGTTCTGGAGCCTCACACGCACCAAGCATGCCGTTGGCATCTCAGCTGGTGCGATTTTGTGCTCACATACAACCCCCTTACGGCGCCTTAGTGATGTCGTCCTGAAGACGAGGTTGAAGATGCACATTGCATTGATGCGGCTGGTGTCCTGTCATAGCCTCAGACACCTTTGCACTAGGTTGCCTGTGCTTTCAGCAAAGAGTCGATTGCAACAGACGAGTTTTACGAGACAAAGATGGCGGGATGTGAGGTACTCATTACTTGCCAGAGCACTGGCGCTCTCCCGCACGGCTAGCATCACTCGCAGGCATATCTCGTGGGTCTTGTCACAGATGATAGGTCCAATCATGTTTTCTGCAAGGGCGAGGCAGTATCAGTGACCTGACAGGATCTTGCAGTGGATTACAGCGTTCAGACCTAAGATTCCTGCCATTCTGCCCCGCAACATTGTATCCCTTGACTCTGCCTGCTTTTTGACTGCAAGGTGCAGAGCTATGTGACCACTTCCGTCGAGTCCGACGGGACGGGTTTCCCATTAGCACGTGCATGCAGACACTTTTTCCGTTTTGTGTCAGCATTGACGGAAGGAGCTTCTTCGAGACTTTTCGCTTCAGCGCATTCAAGCCCTTGCAGAGGAACTGTTGGGCGTCTTGCTTAGTCCAATTCTGTTGATGTTTTTCCTTCCGGATGTTGCACGGAATGTCATTGGTGCTCTGGGATCGCTGCAGCACTCTTCAGCGAATCTGGGTGACTGGTGCTTGTACGGCTGCTTGGACTCAGCCATCGTTGCCGAGAGCGGTGCAGCTTCTTCGGCCGAAGGATGTCAGTCAGTACAGCTGCTGAATCGTTACGGTGACACCAATGAGAAGCTTGAAAAATCTGTGCTTTCTTTTTGCCTGAACCATCAGCTCGTTTGGCCGAGTTCTGCAGATCGCACCAGCGAAGCGTCTCAGACGCCGTTGCATCAAACGCGTGCTCATCAAGCTCGAAATCTTGGCCGCCAAATGATGCCCACATCGACGGCCTCTCGCACTGCTAGGCTTTGGCCGGGTCCCGGGCATCAAGATATCCAGCTAGAGGAGCTTAGTCTGAGTACGTTGCAAGCCTCACCTCAAGACCTTCAAGAGGACGAAAGTGGTGCAACTGGCACGTGCGCTCCGCAGCATCTGCATCCGCAGGCTCCCGCAGATACAGAGCCTCTCATTGATCTGGACAGTCACCAGGATTCCGCGAACGACACTCCTGCCCACCGCGGCACCACTTCGACGACCTCGCCTGTTAATGCATGCAAGGAGCATGTCCTTACGCACATTATTGGGGTGCCCCCGACCGCGATCAACCTGTTGAATGACATTCAGGATTTTCACGAGAAGGAGACCTCAGAAGATCCTCCCAGTGGTGAGAAGGTCGCCCTGCTACCTCCAGACTTGGTCAAGCTCCCTCCCCTGGCACCTGATCCGACAGCCCTTGCGGTTACAACTGCGAGCCGAACAGGTGACGAGCCAGATCCTTGCCTGCACAGCTCCCCGCATCTACAAGCATTTGCAGATTCGCAGTAAGCCACAAGATTATGCATCACAAAGGAATGGTCAAACACTTGTGGTCCGTGGTTTTACTGGTTGGAGGTGGGGATTGCTACTATAACGTTGCGGCATGCACTGCTCCCAGAGAATCAGCTGCAATGCAGGCTTTGCGTGCTTTCAAGGCCAGGCGCCTTGCTCCTTGATCACAAGTAGAATATTTGGGACAGAGCCCCAGTGCATGCCAAAAGAGCAGTGTGCAGCTGAGGACGATTCGAGTTCTGGTTGCAGCCTGCGCCTAAGTGGAAGCCTGCTCCATCGGACCTACATGTCTCTGTCTTCATGCGCCTGTTCTCGTACTGCTCTTCCTACATCGCAACAGTTTAAGTTAAAAACTCCAGAACGTTGCACCTGATCCACATGTTGCGAGGGCATTCGGAGCGAAACACGGGGCCAAAGCAACTCTTGCTGGCGAGTTTTGCCAAGCCGTGTTTATTGTTGGACAGTCGTTCGAGACAGCTCTGGCTGCCAACAAGCGCCGTCGATCTTGCTTGCGAGGTCCCTGGTTCATGTCTCCCAACCTAAAGCTCCCAAGCAATACGTGAGGTGGCATGTTCAATCGCCAGCCCGAGACTCAAATCTTCGATCAATGCCACTCTACGAAGAGCCCAGCTGCGTCTTGGACGGCAAGGCCTCATGGAGTGCAAAGTCACTCTCGCACAGAACGCCTAGCCGCGCTGGCCTGACAGCCTGACCTCAGATCTGTGGCTCACTGCTGCCCAGAGCTTGCCTTACGCCCTCCTTGCGCAGTTGTACATAGTTGCACAGACTATCAGACTCTGCGGCACCTTCCCGTGGTGCTGCGACGTTGTACAAAGACAGACTGCTTGCGTGGAGGGCCGGTAAAAGGGGATACTGTCGACATAATGTAGTTCTGAACTTTGCGCAGTCAGCACTTTGTGTTGAATGCCACGGAACTAGCTTGCAGGATTCATGGATCGAAAGTCATGCTTGTTGCACGCCCGGTGCAGGGTGGCTCAGGCACGCCCGCGGTGTACGCTTCATCAATTTTTGGCGTTTCTCTCAACCAATACTCTTTTATCTCTGGTTGCTTCTACTACTGATTAGGGTTTAGGGTCTACAGTTTCAGGGTTCGGGGTTTAGGGAATCTGCTGGAGAAAGTTGAAGGAATCTTTCGGGAAAAGTGGAAAGAATCTTTTTGGGACCCCACAACGCTTGTGTCGTTAGATGTGCTCGCGATGGCATCACTTAGGCTCGGACTTTCTGAGGGTGCCAAGATCCCAGAGTCTCGTCACTAGAAGCTGATGAGGCTATACTGCATGGCTGCTGGCATGGACAGGCCGGCTGGGCTGACGAATTGCACGGCAGGGTTCGACAGCCGAAGAACGAACTTGTAAGAAGTGGTTGTTTACAGGTGAATCTGCGTCCGTGCTGGTCAGCTTGCTCAGTGGTTGAGTCTGCCGCTACTTGTTTGCATTTCTTGGCATTGCAGCATGTATGCCCCTTCAGGACATGATGACCCAAACAGAACCCGGTTCCGCCTTGAGGATGGGGACAATCTTTCGCGAAGTTGAGACATGCTTCTGCTCGCGAGGAGGCCGTCCACCGGACACAGCTGCCCTTCAGGCTGGTGCCATCTTGCACTTCTGCGAACTTGATCAGTCTGGACTCGAGATTTGCAGCTTCTGGGTCGCATGGAGACGTCTACCACAGTGTGGTGGCTTTTTCTGATCGTCCATCGTTAACAGCATAAAGCCTGGCCTCGATGCTTGTCGACAACATGCGATGTTTAACCTGTCTCACCCGAGTTGTCGTGCAGAACTGCGGTCCCCCGCTGCCCTTCCACGAGGGGCACGTGGTGTTGAATTGTTGGAATGCAGCAACTCTACACAGACAAGTACGTGTGTCCAACACACCTCTTGGCTGTTGGCTGTTTGCGTGTCACCAACCCGCACATACACACACTTACGGGCGACTTCTGGACAACAGTTTCAGGCACATGTCTCTGAAGCAAAGCGTGCATTGCTTCGGTCAGCTCTGATTGCTGACAGGTGCTTCCTTCTCTGTGCGGTTGGGTGGCCACAGAGGCAAGACGACGGTCTAGGTGTGTTTTGTCAGCTTCCGGTTTGCGACACGCCCCAACAAATGGCAGGAGGCTGTGTGTGCGACTTCGGCTTCTCCGGCCTTTTGCGCTGGGATGCTTCCGGAGGCAGACTCGGGGGGGTCGGGAAGGAGAGGAAGCACCTGTCTCGAGACGGCCGTTGAGGGTCTCATGGGCTCAAAGCCAGGCTTAGGCTTAGAGATAGGGCCGTCCCACTTCCGCACCGAAGCCCCGACTGAGGCCCTAACTCCCGAATCCGTGATCCATACCCAGGACATTCCGTCAAAATCCACGAGCAAGTCAGATCTGGTTCTCAGCAGTGGGAAATAGTGGGAAGAGCTACTCAACGGAAAGCCCAAACTTGGCTTTCCCCTGCTCGCAGAGACTCCCAGACCCAGTTGTGACCGATGAGTGATTATCGGAGTCTTGAGGCACTTCGCACCGCTATAGTCGTAAAACTAAAAGAAGCCAATCACAACTTTGATTGGGTTTCTTCCACATCAGACCCAAACCCCGAGGCCTTGCACTTCCCAATGTCTGGACACCAGAAAGCCTTAGCTTAATCCCACACCCCACTTTCCGTCTACATCCTCACCCCTCACTCCAGTTTATGGGACTCGGCGCACGTCATTAAAGCTCGGTTCTGCACGCTTACGACTCGCATCAGCTTTTTCGCACTCGCATGAAACCGGCCAGAAGATGCCTTTGCACAACGTTGAATGATTGGATTGGATGCGGACCGTAGAGCCCTCATTAGGGCGCGTCCCAAAAATCATGCAATGAATTCAAACTACAGCGGAAAAGTACCAGCCTCCCTGAGCAGAAATCGCGGCGCGTATGCACTAGGGAGGATATCTGGCACACCGCTGAGCACTACGAAGTTAGGCCAAGCCGCCCTATTGCAGCGCAAGCCCTAAAAGACCAATGAGTGCACCAACAAAGCAGCTTGGGTTAAGAACCCCAAGACGGAGCAGGGAAGCCGCAACGCGTCCACAACGTTGCGCAGTACTACAAACGTTGTCCCGCACATGTGTGTGCTCAGCCTTGCCGCACGGTAGAAGAGCCCTCACAGAGGCATTAAGACCAAAGGCTTAGATGGGGCAGGAAGGGAAGAAAAGTAGGGCATAGGATTGTGCATTCCAATACAGAGTGTCAAATCAAACGCAACTACAGACTATTGTGCTGAAGCATATTCCTCACGGAGTCGGATGAGGCGAACTACGAGCAAGACTCCACGCAGCAGAGATTCAATCGTCGCTGCGCCACAACACTACCCTGAGCCTATTCCTCTAGGGATGGGAAGAGGCAAACTGCAGGGTTAATCCCACACAGTCATCACACTGTGCCCAATCTAGACTAGGTGCTCCCTCAGGCAACCCTAGCTCGACGACTCACTTTTTCGTGAAGACTCGTGCCCCACAAGCGCCTCGGCGGCTCTGCGCTAATCTCGCCACCCGTCCAGAGATCGTGGAGGACACCATCTTCCACAGTGTCCTTCAAGCCTCCAGTCAGGCGGAGAGTGAACCGAGCTCCCAACTGCATGGCCTCCGCAATTCGCACCGGTCCCTGTGGCTCCCACCTGGTAGCCAAGTGCAGCCGCTTCCGGCGAGCAGAGTAGAACACTGCGCTACCTTCCAGCTTGCGTAGAGCAGCTACGACCTTTGCCTCGGCCACGAAACCAGTGCTGCCAACACCTTCCACCGCCATTTGCAGTTCGATGTCCTTCAGCACTTCCGTCGAGGAGGAAGTCGATGCCCATCTTGACGGCCAACTTCCCGATGAAGCACATCAACATGTATTGTTTGTGGTAGACGTTGTTCAACTCTCTCTTGGTGGCGTCTTCTGCTACAGCTGCCGTCGACAGTCCACAAGTCCTCATGGCCTCGGTGGCGAAGTCAATGTCACTTGGGGAAACTCTCTCCTTGACGCCATTGCGGGTTCCTACGCAGCGGCCCATCTTGAAGAGGACCTCCAACTCCACACATTTCACAGGATCTGCCGTCTCGTGACCTCCTAGATGCATCCGTTCATCTGCGGCCCGTGGCGTGCCTATTGCTGAGGGGCACTGGGGTCCCTGGCTATTTGCCCCCGCTGCTGGGGAGCTTGATCCCGGACTCGCTCCTGTTTATCTTAAATTCAGGTGGCCAGCCATCATTGGTTTCGGGTTTGGAGGCTTTGGCAAAGGTGGTACCCAGCGGTTGCTGACCAACACAATTTCTCAGATTCAAAAAACTGTGCTAGCCATGACTCCTATATAGGGTTACAAGTCATGATATTCTGAGCCACACTGTCGGTTGGGGTTTGGTTTGGGGTTGGGGCAAACTCCTCTTGGGACATCGGGTCTGTCATCATGTCTTTTGGGTTGCTACCACTTGGAGTTCAGTGTGTGCCAGCTGTCGCTCGTTGCTGGATGGATTTCGAGCCATTGCATCTTGGGTTTCATTGTCAGCTGCGACTCCGCGTACTTACATGGGATTCGCCAGTCGCGGATCCGTTCCGGTTGATGTTGCGGGAACACTTAAGCTCAGGGCTCATGTCTGGGAGGGTTTTTTGTGTGGCTACCGTTGTGTCCGATGCACATGCGCTGTGCCAGAGAGTGTCGGCTCGGAAAGCTACACTTCATCGAAGGGTCTCTGGGCCTAGGTGTTTCGGCTTGGGTATTTCAAGTGACAGGTGCAGTCTCTGAATGCGATTTTGGGCCGGCAGGGTGCCATTTGCATGGTCCGACCAAACCCGCCTCGGCCTCCGGCCTCGGCGGATTTCAGTTTTGCGAGGGTTCGTCAGCCATGGTTTTTTCTTTGCGGGGGCATTCCTCTGTCGGGCGAGAGCGTTGGGACTTGTGCTTAAATTGTGTTTTGGCTGCACCCAGGGCCCATCGTTGTTGGACTATTGATTTGCGACTCGTGACTTTCCGCTTTCCTGGCTGCTGCTCCGCTTGTTGCTTCACAGCCTTCCGTTATTTTCCGGCTCATTTCTTGCTGACAAACACTCCATGCTGGCGTGGGGTCCCGGGCAGTTTGGGATTAAGCTTCCACGATTCGTGCAAGCCGCAGTTCTTATTGCATTCAAGTTGATCCCGACACATCAAGCCCGCTGGTGTTTGAGGGCCTTTGATTCTCGTTGACTCATTCCTGGGCGTGAGGCAGGTACCACGGTGCTTGTACGCAGACTCCGTGTCCGGGTGGCACTGTGCAAGGACATTATGCAGGCGCCGCTCGGTTGCACAGTCTCTGCTCCAGCCCCGAAGAAGCACTGCACGCACTGCACGCACTTGATGGCGCTTGGACTCAGGAGTGCTTTTGTCGCCCACCCAGAGTCGGCCACATCGTTTGGAGGCAAACGTCAAAGCCTTGTGCTGCTGATTTGCCTGTGCCCTCATGCTGCAGGCGAGCCGAGGAAGGCCATAGCAGTGTGCTCAAACCTGTGTTGCGGGCGCGCCTGTTTTGGGCGGAGAAGCTGCAGGCGGAAAGAACTCTAGCGGCGAACTCGGTGCGAATGCCTTAGCCCTCGCCAACTGACGTCATCGGAGACCTGGAAGATTCGTGGGTTTGAGGTCGCGTCTTTCCATGGAGAATGTGTCCTTTTGCCTTGTCCAGATGGCTCTTCTCGGGCATCGGTGGGAAGCCCGGGCAACGTTTGCGTTTCCTCAAAGCTCATGTCTGCACTCTCCAAAGCATCGCTTCAGAGGAAAGGTGCTCACACGTCAACCAATCTCAGGAGGTCCGACAGCCCCAATCTTCCAACGCCGCGATTGGGGCGATGCCTTTGACACCCTTACGCCGCACAACTCGAACCCTACCCAAGATGCATCCACCCAACAGAACGTTTGCGTGGTGCAGGATCTTCGCACTGCAGGCCTCGCTAAAGCCGAAGTTGTGGCATCGCTAAAGCCGAAGTTGTGCACAACAAACGCATGTTCATGACACTACCACAGGATTGAGGGGCCGCGGCAGTGAGGGAACTGCATGACATGTACCTTGCTCGCTTCCTCATCTGCCTGGCTGGGCTGAAAAATCTTTACACGAAGAACCCGCATCATCTTTTATGATTGGGCTCTTCTTTGTGAACTTTTTGTCGACTCAACTGCCACCCGTTCAAGCTGCGTTGGTATTCTGCTGCTTTCTGTAGTGCTTCCAGTAAGAACAGGAACGGATGTGATTTTGATCTACAAGCAGTCTCGTTTTTGTACTCTTCTTCCTTGCAGCATGAGCATAACGGAAAGCATGATAGTTATTAAGTTATTGGTCTGCCTTTGGATGCTTTATCGGGTCACTGTTGTTGGCTTTGCTTGAGGATTGGCTGGATCACGGTGTGCGGCGGCCGAGATGCGGCTGCCGTTCTGGTCAGGCCCGGCTTGGCATGGGAATTACCATGAATTGTCTTCGCAATTTTCGTGACTTCAGCGGAGGTTGGAGGATTTATTTGGCAGCCGAATGCAAGTCGTTTCTCTGGCAGCACGCTCAGAGCCTGTCGTATCCTGTTATGCGGACTGTTTGTATATGTTCATCAACCGGCTCCGATGTCACGCAAGATGTCTGCAAGGTCAATGTGTGGACGAAAATCCTTGTGCTCCCGGATACGCAGGAGGTCGCATGATAGCTTTCGATGCACACCACGAGAAGCTTTCCGTTTCCACCCAAGCCGGAGGCACAGTTTTGGATTTCGGCTAGGACATGCTAGCACACAACCCCTTGTTGCCGTTTTGGTGGACGTGTGGTGCGAATCTGAAACTTGGTTACAAAGGTGCGAATTCTTGGCAAGTGCGAGCGCGTGGTGTGCCCACTCCATGCCGACATTGATGAGCCCGGGGCTCTTGGAGCAGCATCAATTGCTCAGCGAGTCGTCAGAAAGTGCTTCTAAGGTCTGGCTTGTGCCACTGTCAGCTTCGAGCTCAGCCCTGCTAGAGTGCTGCTTGAGAAGGATGCGACGGTCCAAGCGACAACCCAAACACACCATCCATGTTCACGGACCCAAGCGTGAAAGCGAAACGCTTGGGGTCAACGCACCATGCATGCCTTGCAATTGATGGTCGTAGTGCTGCGCGCAGAATCTGCAGAGGCCACCCTACAACGGAAGCCAGATCACCTGGGATGCGGAGCTGCTGATGTACTCTGGGCAGCAGCTCTAATGCACCTGGTGTTGCAGTGCAGCCCAGAACTTCAGAATCCGCGTCATCGTTCGTTTGCTCTGGCGGCCAGATGCTCACCCTACTTCCATTGTCCTCCTCGCACTGCAGGGCGCTCTGTCAGGCTTGTCGCTAGTCTGATGAAAGCCCATAGCCCCAGGTCTATCGCAACGTGGATTTGAGTGTCGTGAACACACGGCTGGCCTGCGTGTGCCGGGATGGCTATGCTGGACTCTGAAAGCGAGTACAAGCGGAGCATAAATGGCTCGTCACAGAATTTGCTGATCACAACGAGGCTGGCGGTCACATGTCTTGGGATGCATGGGGACATCGCGTTTGGCATGGCCCCCTCCTGGGTAATGCTGCCGGTCTGTGAAATAGGCCGGAGGGTGCATGTTATGGGCTTGAGGCGATTGCCAACTGGTTGCTTGTCCACTGGGTGCGCAAAGACATGGGGATGGTCTGTGTCAGTGTCTGCAACCCGGAAGTGAGTGCCGTTCTGTCCCGTTTGTCGCTTGTCTTGGAGCTACAGGTCGAAATGGTTCATTGACATGGGACGCACTACGCGGAAGCTACGAAGGCCCACGAGCTGCTGGAATGTCATGTCGCTCGTGCTGGCCTTTCTCGCCTTGTCTTTTGGCAGGCCTCTGCGGGCAGGAGCACGCGGCCGGAACAGAGACGGGGCAGAAGCATGAGCAGCCCGAGCAGCCGTGGAGGCCCCAGCGACCGCGGTGGACCCGATTGCGGCACCGAGAAGCCGGCAAGGGTGGCCATGCCACACATTCCAATGAGACGGCTGCAAAGTCGAATTACGAGCACCAGCAGCAACCGGTGGCGGCAATTCGAAGGCATAGCCCTAAACATCCTTCAAGATCTTCAAGGAATCACACACGCAAGTCAGCAGTGGCACACCCCGCTGCGAAGCATGGGAGATCCGACTCTGAGAAGGCCCACTTTGAGAAGGCCCGCTTGACAAAAAGCTCCATGTTGGGAAGCTACGATTTGTGTGGGTTTTGGAGGACAATCCTGTGAAGCCGAGCTCACGCGCCGTGAAGTTCGCTCGAAAGGCCATCGGCTCATACTGCCAAGGGACACGTGTCATCTCTTGCTTTCCAGCTGTCAGCGAACTTGGAGGTTCCGACAGAGGGAGCGGCAGTCTTCTTTCACGCGTTCTGGCACCCAATCAGAACCTTTGCCGAGCCTATTCTGCGGTTCGTCTGATGTGGCCTCCTCATTTTTCCGTGCCATGTAGTTCCACGACAGACATCACATGCAGTGCCGGGGAAAGTTGCTCGCAGAGTTAAGGCCAAGCGTGGTTGCAGCGTCATTTACTGTGAGCCATTTAGTCGTTCCTGCTGCTGCTGTCCAGCATTGTTCAACCGTCGTCGCGAGGCGATGGACTGGTATTGTACGCCCTGCTAACCCAGAAAACTCGAGATTTTTGGAAACTGATCGTAGCGTCGGGCCAGCCACAAGAAGCGGCCCCAGTTGCTTCATGTCGAGATCTGTCCCGCCAAAGATACTGCAAAGCAGCTGCGGGAAGACCATCGGATGCCGCCCACACGGCTTCAAGACAGTCATGGGTCAAAGTGACTGGGGGTTGGGTTCGCTAGCAGAGAGCCGTAGGCGAATTCGAATACGAATTGCTGTGGGTCACGGAAACGGTGCGTGGACTTTCAGCAGATCGGTCTTGGTTCAGAATCTGAGAGGGCGCATATTGCGGCACTGCAAAGCAGATGGCAACGTACCCTATAGGCCTAGGCCCTAAGCAGCAACTCGGTATTTCAATGTATTTCATGGTGTTGTGCGAATTTGCAAATGCCTTCTCTGTGGGCATCATGGCATCGCTCGGCGGTCGCAGCAGTTTCTACATGGACTGCGACGCCTTCAACACTTCGGCTACAGCACCACGACGCGGTACCGAGATGTTTCTAGAAGAGGAAGGGCTTGGCACTCGGAACTTGGATTTAGCTACAAAGGCATGCACGTCTACGTGGTTTCGGTAGTGAATCTGGGTAAGGCAGAGGATCCGACTGAGTTTGCTGTCCTATGCTGAGATCTCGTTGGTGGAAAGAGTTCTATGTCAAGCCTCTCCGCCAAAGACCTGTGCCGAGGCGTCAGCTTGATAACTCTCCCGACAAGGCTGGAGTTTGTGCGGATTTTCCAAAAGCTGCGGTTGCCGTCGATTCAAAGTTGCTTGACCGCGAACACGGAAATTTCTCTTGCCAGGTCGGCGCAGGAGAGCCATACCAGTTTGGCACACAGTACTTTGCGATTGCAAGTGCCTAATGACTGATTGGAAGTCTGAAGAAACGGGATTTGCTGGAGTGCATCGTAGAGCGAGAGCAGCTTGAAAAGGAGGAAGCAGTTTTGGTCGACAGTTTTGAGTGTTTGCAGTTCCGATTTCTGTGAGACACGCACTTGTTGCTGCCAGACATGGCAGACTTCCGGCTTGCCGAGGTGGCTACGAATGGTGGATATTGATCATGCCGCAAGATGGTGGCAAAGCATATTACAGTAGGGCATCTGCTTCAAAGAACGATGCAGCCTGCCTCAAGGTGCGCGAATGATCCGCAGTGTACAGGCGTGTGCTACAGCTCGGAGACGGGTTGGGCTCGTCGCATCCCCAGCAGCCGCAGCTTCATTCTTTGCAGTGGTTTCTGCTTGGCGGGATAGACGTTGCGACTATTCTCACGGCGGCATCCGGATGTGCTTGGTTGATCTGCTGATTGCATTTCTGCTTGTTCAGAGAAGCTTTGAAGACTCTCCTCGTGGTTGCTTGAGGAGAAGGTTGGAACTTGAGTTCAGATCAGGCTACTATCACCATCAGATTCAGCAATATGAGTCCTCGTCTCGGCAAGCTCACAAGGAAGGATCTGTCAAGTATCTGCTGCCTGTTGCTGCATTCTTCCAAGGGCAGATGCGAGTGGAACAAAAGGTTGGGTCAGAGGCTTGGCTGCTTCCGACCGAATGCTGAGGTGATCGTGCTCAAAGATCTTGAGTTCACATGCTTTTCCACTGATGCTCTTGCTCAAGTCAGTCTTAGGTCTGTCTCTCTTTGAAGGGAATTGGGCCGATGGGAACTGGCATGAAGTCCGAGATGAGGCAGGCAATCCCGTGCATTCGTAGACTGTTGAGCTTCTGCATTCTGCTGGTAAGGCCTTGCTTTCATGGCCTGGAGGACTGCATTGCATTTCTGGCACGCAATGTGTAGGACCAGCGTTCCCGCAGCTTCTATGGTTGTATGGTGAATCAGGCCCCGAGACACAGGAATAGACGTAACGTTACATAACTGAACCTGCAAGAGCTCAGCGTGATGTCGAGAAAGGCCGACGATCGGCTGTTTGGGTGTCATGGGCACCTGGCAACTTTTCTCGCACGTTGACAGAAAGAGATTCCGGCCACTTCAGGCTACTTGTAAGGGCCCGAGCCCATACTTCAGTGCCGCACCTGATGAAGTTGGCTGCTCCTTGCGTCGCCAGTTTCGTCTTGAGCGCTTCCAGCACAGCTTGGAGTCAGCCAAGTCCGACGTGCCGGCGACCTCGAGGGGGCGACCATCGAGCCGTCGGTAGACGAGTGTTTCAAACCAGGTGCTCGCTCTTCAAAGACGATGGCCGGAGCCGTGACCAGCGTGTACCGGGCTTGAGGGTGAGAAATCACTTCCAGCACATTGCCGATCACTACCTTCATGAAGAGTATCGCCACGCGAACTGCAAGATGCTTCTCATGTCCAGCTATTGTTGAAACATGATGCCAGAGTTGGTGCAGCCGGTGCTTGGGAGACTGTGACCCCCTTGGTGTCTTGTTTGTGCAAAAATCTCAGCGTGTGCGTGATCTCCTCGTTGATGTCGAAGAGGGACCTGTCGCTTTTGGGCGAACGATCTCCGCTTCGTGTTGCCAAAGCCTTTAAGCTCGCCGCTGCGCGAGAGGATGGTCAGGGAAGACTCGTCGGGCTGGAATGCTTGGAATGACTCGTTTTCAGGTGTTGAACCTTACCACCTGCACCCCGGTTCCGCACGTGTCACCTGGAGACACTCAGCCTGGCCGACAAGGATCCTCAAACAGATTTCCTTCAGAGAATGGTGGAGCTGGACGATTTGCCACAGCGCCGAGGCGGTTGCGGAGTGCGGGTCCTGCAGAGCTGGCACGCTGCGTCCGACTGGGACGGTGCTGACATCGAAGTTCTTCCCAGTACTAGACTTACCAGACTTACATGCGTCTTGCAAGTTTGAAGCTTTCAATGTAGTGGAAACTGTGGGGTCTTTATGAAGCACTACTTTACTGCACAACTCTGGCTGAAGTTTTGATTTTCTGTCTTGTTGTTCTCCTAGCGTCTCCTCTGATTCTCTTGATTCTCTGTCTGGTTGTTCCGCTACTGTCTCCTGTGCTGCCATGTGTCTTGTAGCAGTGCGGAGCATCTCTGTGCGGGCATGGACTCTTTAGTCCTTTACCTTGGAAGGAGGCTTGGTGCAGCATGTGGCTGAGGCATGGCGCCATATGTGGCTTCAGTGTTGAAGTCAGTTGCTTCCGTTCAAGCGGCGAGGACCGAAAACTTGCCAGCGACATGCGCGCCGGTTTTCTGCTTGTAGAGCCCAAAAGGTCGAGTCGGTCCCCGCTTGTCAGTTGCTGACTTATCGGGTCGACAGCTATGCCGCAGCTCTTGACCTTGAGGTCTGACGTAAAACTGAGTCAGAGGTCATTACAAGTTGGGTTAGGCGGGATCCCACTGGGGACTCTGTGCAAGCTCATTGTTCCCTTAGTCGACAGTTTGGGATTGGGGTTCGTCAAAGCCCCGGCATGGTGCGCGGCATTGATGATTTCAGTTGGAAGCTGCGCACGTTGGACAAGATCACCACCATAAGCACTGCACACACTATCAGCCTGGTTCTTGGCATTGCAACGGCCACCGTTTCGATAGCCGGCGGTTTGCGAGGATGGGTGTCGCGGCCCCACTTCAGGCGATCGTCGCTTCACGTCGCAAACGACTTGTCCTTTGATGTGCGCATGCACCACGGGTTGTTTGACAGGGCTGCTGAGCGCATGACAGACATTGCAATCCTGTGTCGTGTTGTGGCTGTGGATCATAGGTCCGGTGTTGGGACCAGCCACCAAATTGTACAAGCTGAAATGTGGTCCAGCATGCGTCTGTGTCTGTGTCAGGTACCCAACCACGGCAATCCTGCATGCCCCCAGCGCTGGGGTGACACCAGCGCTGTGTCAACTTTGACGCTCAAGGGCCGCAAATTGATGCGCGGATGCTATGGCACATCGCCTTCAGCTGCGTGTAATGCAGCGGAGGAATCGGCTCGGCGGCAGATTGCCTCACGGTTTGGTCTGCTTTTTGTCATCGGTTCGCGTCAGGCCCGGAGGCTGGGATCCTCCCTCGTGAAACAGGGAGCGATGTGAGTGTAATGTGGTACAGTTAGTAGACCGCGCTTGCATTAATATTTTTTCATGCCAAACTGCTTTGTGAATCGCTCCATGTGGCATCCGCCTTCTTGGGTACGGCTCACAACTTCTGACAGTGGCTTTGCGAGCGGTGTCTTTGATGCATCCCAGCAGGCCCCCACGCCACACATGCTCTTGCCGGAGTATTCGGAGTGAAGGTGCAACGCAATGCAACTGCCGAGAGGTCAAAATTTCAGGAGCAATGCGACGACTAAGTTTGACGATCTTCGCCGAATGTGAGAGACGGACACCTGTAGTATGTGAGAATTTACGTAGTGCATGGTATAGCACGTTGTGTAGCTCCACCTCGGGCTAAGCCTAGTCTCGGCTACCCTGCAAGACTGGACGCTGCGAATTGAATTAACGAGTGCCCTTGTCGGTTCCAGGAAGCTAGCGATGGAGCTTGGCAGCCAACACAGGCGCAGCTTTCTTCCGAACAGCTTGCTAGCATACTTTCAGGTCCTTTTCGGTTTGTTTGGTTTCTAATGAAGCTCGGGACGATTATGGCCGATTGTTGCTGATGCATCACAGTGATCTGCGTAGGTGCCCAAAGATGAGCTTTGGCTTCCTGATGGAACTGTGGTGCCCATGCGCCTGTACCCAAACTCCCAGAACTTGGTACACCAGGTAGCAGCCTCAGCACGGGTACGATCGCATCCGATTGCACTGCTTTGCAAACCTATCAGTTGCCGCAATGTGGCAGCTTGCAGTCCGGAGGGTGGGAATGGACGCCTAGTTGGTCCCTACATTTGTTGTGTTGACAGCAGGATTGTTGGCTGGTCTTCACTGTTGCTAGATAGCCACCAACAAAAACGGCATTGGCAAAATGCATTCTTCTTGACATAGAGGTTTGTTTGATATTTCCTGATTTCCAGATGATGGTGGGTTGCCAACGATGGTCGTGGAAATGTCCGGCATCCACGGACGTGGTGCTTTGGAGATGTTTGACTTTGGTAGTGATCTTTGGAACATAGCATGCCACCATGGAACCAACCCACCCTACACGATTTTTTTGGAGCCTTGACGTTCTCTTTCGCCATCGGCCAAAATCTGTGCAATCGGGCGAAAGTGGTGACCAAAAAGCGCATCACACATGCCAAGGATGCTAGAGTCTTGGGAATGCACTTCCGATGTGCATGGCTGCGTCTGGTACATGCTGGTACTGGTAAGATGCAGACAGAAGCAAACCAGATCTCAAGAGTCTAGCCGTGAATACATGGAAGAGGTGAGCTGTTGCATAAGCCAAGGATTGCGGATGCGCCGTCCGAAACTTTCAACAATTGTAAGAAAACGGCAAGGTATTGATACCATGTTCAAGAAGTTTGTAATCTACCAGCAACGGGACAGGTAGCAGTGTGGCATCAATCCTTGCAAATATGCTGCAATATGCTGGTACGCTGTGTCTCTAACCCATGTTAACAGCCAAGGCCCAGATGAGGGCACAGGCCCGCATTGCGTGGGCGCTTCATCATGGTGCCGATTGTATTGGGCAGTTCCCATGTCCAGGTGCTTGCTCTTTTCGCCACTGTTTGTGGCGAACAAAGAGCTTCTTCAAGGCGCAAGTGAGTGCTGTTGCCAGCAACCGCCTCTGGTTCTGACTTGGAAGGATGCCCTCCAGTGAGCTGGGAGCCTTTCTGTAGCTGCGCAGCAGTCAGCACGGCGAAGATCGGATCTTTGGGAAAAGTAGTTGGTGCCGCTGAACCGCATTGCAAGGCACGTGCTACATGTATCATGTGCTGAGATCTGTGCATGCAGTCGATGCCCTCATGTTATTCCCACTGTCTTTTGTCAGCAACTTCCTTGGTCGACTCAGTTTTCAGGAAGGTCCGTCATGCGCACATCGTCAGAATTCAAGTTTGGCCCAAGTTGGAGAATGGTGCCTTGCTGGACCCTGTGGTGTTGGCGTACGAGGCTCCGTTACGAACTTGCCTGCCGCAGTCAGAGGTTGACTTGAGGCAGACTGTGTTGTTTGCACACGACAGGTGAGAGATTACATCATGGGCCACCCTGCCGCAAAACGATTCCAGAATGCAAGAGAATTTTGACTCACTTTTTGATCTCCGCCTCGAGGCGTGCCCAGCCAGGGCCAGATCAGAGCAGCAAAGGCCAGCAGTCATCAACTACCCACGGAAAATACTATGTTAACAAATAGCCTTTTGCCTGAACAAGAGCTGGGCGCATGCGACTGCAGTGCATGCTTTCGTATGATAGTCTGTGGTTGGTGGAACTGCAGGCTGAAGCTCGCGCTGCAGCCAACAAGACGGGCAGGTGGAAACACCGCGTTTCGCATGCTTTCGCATGCTTTTCACGCTGTGCAAGTTTGCAAAACGAGTCCCGAGCATCTCTAGTCGGAGGCACCGCCAAATACTTACGAAGAAGAAGCTTTGAGCCAAGATGAACCTCATGTCTGCTGGTGCGCTGATGCACACCACTGTACGTTTGTCGTGACAGGTTGAAGCGAGACAGGACTGTAGATTCCTGTAGACAGCGCAGACTGCGTGCTGCACACAATGATCGATCTATCTTTCCCTTGGCACTGCACCAGCCGTTGTTTCGGGGAGCGGTCAAACAGCTCATTCGCACTGAGCAGCAGGAACCGTGATCGAAACGTCAAGAAGAAGCAGGTCGCAGCGCCAGCATCTTATGACAGTGCGAGCTCGAGTTTGACGAGCACCTGCGCAGATGAGAACAAGCCAGTATGAGCGAATATGAGCCACATGAGTCACATGAGGCCTGAGCGAGGTCGAGCTGAGGCTCTAACTGGAAGGAGCGGGAGTGGAACAGTGGAGGGAGAGAGCTGCTTGGCAGGCTTCCGGCACTGTCGACGTGAAGATGGCCAGGTGAGCAGCCCTTCTTTTGTCTGCACTGAGTGAGTTCCAATTGCATGGAAGTTGAAATTCTAAAAGCAGGAGCCCGTCAAAGATAAAGCCAGGCACGCCACTTACTCGTACAGACGTTTCGGTTGTCATGATGTCTTGTCGTTCAGTCGCTACTGTTGGCTTAGATGACGAGTTGTTAGGTCCAGGGCGGTGCAGTTGCACGCGGTTCAGTTGAGTTAGGAGTTGGGGCGTGGAAGTGGTTCGCCGTGCGATTGGCTTCATAAGGTTGGTGCTGGGAAGTTGGGTTTAGGGTTTAGGGTTTAGGGGTTTAGGGTTTAAGGGTTTAGGGTAGTCAAAACATGTGGTGCCAACTTGAGCTGAGGTCACGGAAGTGGGACTCCGGGTGCAAGAGCTGCAGCAGCCAAGGTGCTCACGCATGCTACGCAGGCCTTGACATTGCTGAGACCTTCTCGTCTTTTCCTGACCAGGTGCCGAAGGCTGTGCAGGTGTCAAAGAAGGGTGGGCGAAGAAGAAAAGCAACATGGCCAGGAACTCGGTCTGCGAATGTTCGCTTCCAGCATCTTGGAATCGGCCGCGGTTCGCCCTTGACAGGCGAAGCCATGGTGTCGGCTAGCTCAGAACGTGTTGGATGGTGCTGGTGTGAATTCTGGACAGCTCCGGCTGGCCAGTTGTCAGCATCCAAGCCACACTGGATGTTTCACTCCGTGTGCTAGTTCGACGGCGGCAGTGGGCGTGCAAAAAGAGTGTAACTTCATGGCCTGTGATGTAGGTGCGCTGTTGGTAACTGTGATGAACTTGGGGGCAGATTTGATACCCGGCGGTGATGCGGGTGTCCTCCAACGCCGTCCGCAGGGTGTATAGGCCAACAAAGCATGTGGCCTGGTAAAGCATGGGGCAGGCAAAGACTGCGGACTCAGCACGGTCGAGAGGAACTAGGTTCTCCATTAAGACTTCAATTCTCAAAGGAGAAGTAGTTTCTGCTTCTGCCTGTGGGCTGTGGGCAGGGCGTGCTGTTACTTCGGTTGAGCCTTCGAGGGCCATGGCAGCTGCAGATCCGCACCCGCTGCCTTACCTGCTCGCATCTGCGGTGCTCACCTCAGGGTGAAATGCGGTGCGGTCGGGTCTTCTGTATCGGCCAAGAACCAAAGCCTGATGAGGTTTCGTCCTTTGTTACCTTGCCAGTGTGGAAGGCAGCGACCATTGGCCAGTCAGCTTCTCGCTTGCCGATGGGTCCACTGCCAATCTGCAGCACGATAGATGAGGTCTGGATATGCGTTAACAGCAGAATCTTCTCTGGGACGCTTCCTGGAGGTTGTGTTATGTCTTGTTTGCAGCGCTGCAAGGGATCAATTCTTAAGAAGACAGTTCCCACGTATCAGAGTATGCCCTTGCAGGCAGCGAGGCCACCTTATAGGGGCAGCTTTGTGGTGGTCGCCTGGATGCGTATTCAGAGCTTCCCCAATCTCACGCTGACATAGGCCGGACGTAGGCTGACTGATGTTTGTCATGCCCGAACGTCAGATCTGAGATGCGGATGGGTTTGGTTGCCTACGAACTAAACTGGGTTTGCGACCAACTCTTCCGTTTCTGTACCGGTTTGCAAAGACTCGAGTTGAGTTCACCTGAGGTCTCTGGAAGGACGTGGGCCCAGGCGATGATATTTTTTGGCGCAAGCCCTGTCGTGTTAAGATTGCACCCCCCCCGTCGAGCCGTGGCCGTGTCGCACTTTTCTGAGGTTCAGATGAGGGTTCGAGATGGCTCCGCCGATGTGGCTGGAGCAGTCTATGGGCATCATGCGTGCCTCCGTGACTTGGATCGGAAGCGGTTTCAGTTTTGTCCCCCTCTGTGACGCTGCCTGATCCCAAGAGATGAGCTCAGGTTACTGATTTCCGCACTCTCCTCAGTTGCTCTGTGGCGTGAGCATTTCAGTCCAGGTGGACTGAGAGCACGAGATGCACGAGATGCTGTCGTCGAGTCGTCGTCGCTAGTCGAGTCGCCGCGGTCATGGACCCCCAGACCTAGGCCAACGTCCAGGTGGCCAATCAGCCCTTCGTGCGCTCTTCGATCATGCTCCAAGGAGATCCGCAGGCGCGACGCCACAAGTCGGTGAGCGTCTTGTGTCGGCTTGCTTCCGGCGGTTCCACTCAATATTCATTCTTGTCACTTCGTCCATCCGTGCGCTTTGCTTGCCTGGTGCATGACAGGTCAGATTCGCGCACAGCAGCCACTCGCCCAATCTGGCAGTGCTTCACTATCTTTGGAGGCGGGTTATGTTCGTATTTCAAGGTAACTTGAGGCCACTCCGAGTCTGCCAGCACCTGTCCGTCCCGAAGGACGAAAGGACTTAGGGCACTATGGCTGGGAACAGGCGTCCAAGTCTTGGCAGCTTTGCCGTTTGTTTTGCGAGCACGCTACAAGTGTTGACCTTGTAAGGTGAGTATTGCTCGGACAGCTCCAAAGTATGTGGCCGCAGTGGGTGCTAAGGCAAGAGCATCTGAAACTGTGTGGGCTAGCATGGGCTCAGCATGGGCGGAGGAGAGTGGTTAAGTCAGCTCGTGCTGCCTGCAGGATGCCATGGAAGAGCTGCTGGCCCAAGATGATGACATGACCATGGCAAGTTCCGCACCAGCCCTGGTCTATTCCTAGGACTTAGGACAGTTTCTCTCCGTAACCTAAGTAGCAGAGCCGAGGTGCTGAGGTCCATCAAGAAGTCTGTGGCGGCTTCTATCGTCTGGGCACTCGGCACTCAGCACTTGGCACTCAGCACTTGGCACTCAGTGCTGGCTGCTGTGTGTCCCTGAGGCAGGATCAATCGTGACTAATCCGCTCGATGTGGCGCAGAACGAGATGTACCAGACAGGGGACAGCTTCCTGGCTCTTCTGAGACACGCTTTCTGATTCTGGCGACTATGTTGCAAGACTCCAACATGAAAAGCCCTACACCCAGGTTTAGGATTTAGGGTTTAGGCCTCAAAAGCTTCTTAGACTTTTCGTTTGAGCCCGCGTGGCCAGGCTTCGTCTCGACGGTGATGGCCTCAGGGACATCACAGCTTGTGAACCAACCTCTCTCAAATTCTGTTTTGTCGGATGGCACATATATTTACATATATATCATATATATCATATATATATATATATGTATATATATATATATATATATATATATATATCACAGTGGCGGTGCAGCACCGGACAGCAGAATTCGCGCATCAAGGCTCCATGTCATGTTGCTATTGTTCTTCCATTCGTTCGACATTTCCTCAGCGGCGGCTCAGGAGCGTGTAGTTGCAAATCACCAAAGCCAGCGGAGTGGGGCTTGAGTTTGCTCTTTCAGCAGAGCAAACGAGATCTAAAGTGCAGAAGCTGACTCAGTATGATCATGTATGATCACATTCACAGAAATCATTGTTTGGAAGGGGTGGGGAGTGGGGTTGGGTGAAGTTGGTACTTCTTTCTTACTCTCACTCGCACTTAGAATTGAAGTTACACAGCACGAGCACACTCAAACAGTAGACATAGTAGACACTCCTGTGCATGCAAGCACAAGCAGGTCCAAGCAAAGCATACGCACACACACATGGACGCACGAACACGCGCCCCCACGCACACTGGCACGTGTGCAAATGCACACGAATGCACGTGAACATGAAAGCATGCACGCACACGCGTGCACAGTCGGACAAAAACGAGTAATTACACTGAAGTCTTCGTTTGGCCCAGCAGGTATGCTTCACCGGTAGTATGGGGCGTCTTTGGCGCTTGCGCTCAACATCGCTCGTGCAGTGCATCCATTTCGACTTTGACTGCATGTCCTTGAAGTTCGTCTCTCTGAGGGTTTGCAGGCATCCCTTCGAAAGCAACCTGCTCCCCAGAAGTCGAAGACACGAGGCAGATCCTGCATGCCTGCAGCTGCCGGGGTCGTTGAGGTGAAGCGTCTCCAACGTGCGGAGGGCTGCCGATCCCTTACCGAAAAGGCTGACCGTGGAGAGTGCAGTGCGGCTTCTCCCATTTTGGTCACCACATGTCCTGTCTTCAATCTGCAGCGCTTAGGTCGGTGGCTCTTAAGAGGCCCGCTGCTGTTCGTGTGCATCGGTGACCGGATCATTTCTGTCCCGAGGCGTTGACAAGAATGTGCTAGCGAGTGCTATGCCAATTGTGCTCACCTGAGACCGTCCAAGAAGACAGACGAGGTCTCTCTCATCCTCGCAGCAAGGCTCTCACCATCTTCCTCACCGATGCCTTCACGCAATGGCTGCTTTGATGTTGCTAAAGCTGTACACATGTATGTGGCAAGATGTTGCTGTTATTTGCTGGACTTGATGTTGCTTTGTCAGATGCAAGCTCTCAGGCGACATGCCGGTGAATCGCTTAGCTAGGAAAAGCTTGCTTCAATTCGTCCCCTCTCCGGGGCAGGTCCTCTCGCGCTGTTGCTGAGCTCAAAGGCAACCCAAACCCGAGCTGCAGAGCTCAGAAATGAGCTTGAGCCCTGAAACGCATCCTTCGGCAACAGTGTTTTCCGGCCTGGTTCTCGTGACACCCTTCCAAAGGAGCGGAGATGTCACGCTTGCATGATTTTCCACCGTCAGCCTGTATTGCTGACGACCTGACGACCGCCGACTTGCCGTCTCTTGTAGCAAGATTTCAGCTACAAGACTCGCTTCCACGGCAACCCGTAGCTTTGTAGTCATATTGATGTGATGATACAAGCGTGTAAACCGTATTGCTGAACGCAGTAGATATGCCATGGGTTGCAGTGCTTGCTATCCGCTAGCGATTCTCTTCGAACAGCTTGTGATAGTTTGGTCCTGCACTTCTGGATCTGTGACGATTCGACGAGGCAAGAAATGTTGCGGCAAACGATGCCCCCCCAAAGTTGGCGAGAGTATTCTTTGCGAGGCGCGGGAGCTGAGTGTACAGCCGCGCATCCTCGTCAAGAAGAGGCTGACCCAGCTAAGCTGCACAGGTGCTGCCCGGCTGCCCGGCTGCAGAATTTGTTCTTTTCGATAGAGCTGGTGACCTTGCAAGACAGCGCCCGCGTGTGTTCTCGTTTGATCTTAGGACCTGGGGCCTGTGCATGCTTCAGGCCACGTGCTGTTCGCATGGGCTTGGAGGGAGTGATGCGAAGTGCGGGAAAGGAGCCCTGTACAGTGTAAAGTCGAGAGACGAGCTCCTGAGCTTCGCACCCAATGTTAGCGAAACGCCACGAGCATTTGAGAATAGTTTGTGGTCTGGGTGTACAACCGACATGGCTTTGAAAAGGTGGGCCGTGCTCGTGGCTCGAACCCTCTCCGAGGCAACGGCAGGCTCACCAGCTCAAAAAAGGAAGCATCAGCTCGGGCGTCTCAAGTGGGGCCTCGTGTTCGTCTTTGATGAATGTTTCCGCTGCTGTTTTTCTTTTCGACCCCTTCACGAGAGGATCCTCCAGGCCGAGGATTTGAACAGCAGAGAGCGGAAGAGAACGAGCGATTGTCATGAACTGGCACCTAGACTTGGAAGAGCGAAATTCTTGTTTCTTTGAGCTTTGTGGTTGTGGCAACCTGTGGCGGAATGATTACCGGTGCTTGCTGTGAAGTCAAGCATATCAACCTTCTCCGCGTTGTCCGAAGGTCATAGCGGACTGCTGATTGCTGGAATGGACCGAACAGGCCTTGCCGACTCAGCAGATCCACACACAGACACACAGCATTCTGCTGGAAAAAGTTCGTTGAAGACGAGGCACTGTGACAAAATGCACGCTGCATGTCGTTGCAGACGGCGACTAGCAAGTGCTTGCAACGGATCATAGTTGTTGCCCAGAGCGGAACGGCGCATGCAGACAAGATTGGTGAGATGCTGAACACGGGTGGACTTCTTGCTTCCACATTAAAAGCAGCTTCGTGCTGGAATTCGCAGCTTGCGGTCAAGCTGTGTAGTCTCCGACAGGCTCTGCTGAAACGCATGCCTCCAAGGAAGGATAACACTCTCTTTCTTTGCGCGCTCTCTGGGTGCAGGAGGGCTGAAGCTGCACCGACTCCCAGCAGAGGAGCTGCGGGTCCATTGCTCGGCACGTCAGATTCAAAGCTCTTATGCCCCTGCAGCCAGCAGATGCCAGTGTTCGCCAGCGGTCAGGTGCACCGTTTCGATCGAGTCGAGAGTCGTCTGCACAGCCGTGGAAGCCAGGCCGCTACCTAAATGGGTAAAGCGTCACAGAAACTACTGCAGTTTTGCAATTAGCAATGCATCATCAGCATTATCATCGTCTTTATCATCAGCATCGGCATCATTATGATCTTAATCATGTTCATCATAACGGCCGTCATCATTGTCATAATCATCATCATCATCATCATCATTACAGGACTAGATGCTATAGCCTAAACTTGTGACCGCCGGGTCAGCCGGATTTGATTTCTCACAGGTTTCTAACAGACTTCTCACAGGTTTCTCAGAGGTCTCTCAGCCTTTTCACAGGTTTCTCACAGCTGCATCAGAGACTTGTAGCAGCGGCTCGCAAATGCGCACGCGAGAGGATATGCGACGGTCGAAAGCTATTACAGCTCCCCCACTGCCCCCCACCTCCCTAGTCCTAAACGGCAGCAGAAACCTTGGGAATGTCCTGTAGAAGCAGTAAAAAAGCACGTGGCGCCCTATGCGCCCGCTACCACCTAAACGTGTTGCTTGTAGATGGTCGAACTCTGCTGGTGCTACAGCTTAGTCAAGCGTCTGTATGGGGGGTTGAACACGTATTGTTGCTGAACTGTTCGGAGCTGGGAAGTTCCAACTGTGAAGTGATGCAGCACCGACGCAGCTAAGCATCAACTGCCTCCCTGTGCAGCTTTGTGTTCGAGATGTTCATAACGGTAGCTCTTTTACTGCTGCCCAACCTGCCCGCCCAGATACACTGGGTAAACTGTTTGGAAGTTTCTGCAGGTACAGCCAGTACAGCTCAAGTCTTTGACAGATGTGTGCCTCAGCGCTTGCTAACACCGAAGGGTGTCGCAGGTGATCCATTATATACCTCTGGTGGCTCGTGCTGAATTCATGTTTGGAAAACGCTTGCTCACGTCAGAGGCTTAGCGGAGAAGTGGCAGGCAACAATTAGGGTTTAGGGTCTAGGGCCTAGGGGGTATGCGCCCGCTACCACCTAAATGGGTTGCGTCTAGATGGTCGAACATTGCTGGTGCTACAGCTTAGTCAAGCGTCTGTATGGGGGGTTTGAGGTTTAGGGTCTAGGGAGTACTCGTTGCACAAACACTGGTTACCATGTGCGAGCGTTCTCAGGCTTGTATTCGCTGCGCGAAACAAAGCATGATTGCGTTCTCAGTTCCCTGGCTCGTGTGGAATCAGGCAGAAGCGAGCAAACCTGCCTGCAGGTCCGCTCCGAATCGAATCAGGTTCGGGGTCATGACTCCCGAGACATAGTGCGTGCGAGCACAAGCCGGAGCGAGGACAGTGTCTGCGGACAAAACCAGCTCTTGCAATTGCTTTTTGATGCGTGCATCTGACAGGATCGTGTTGCTCGGGACGGAATCAAGGACGAGGTTGGGGGAGCAGAGACAGCTGCGACAGGATCTCCTTTGCCACTTTTCCTGCAAGGTGTCCTTATCTGGGCCTCTTTCTGAGACACATAGCCTGGAGGACACAGCACCACAGACATCGTTGATGTTCATGAGAGCTTCCAACGCAGAGTTCCTTGCAGGAATTTGTGCAGCAGGATTTAGATGCTTTCTGGAGGCACATGTGCAAAGAGCATCTTGTTGCAGCAGCCTTGCTTGAGCTAGCGTGTAATGTAGAAACGAGGCGTTTGTTTTTAATGTCTCGGCCGGACTTCACGCATGTGATCGGGCCGCAGGTGGTGTGCAACCCCGATTGATGGTCTGCATCGGTCTTGCACTGAGCCACACCAGTCTGCTGGACGA